TTTAGTTCTGACTCAATGAGAGCCAGCATATCACAGAAATTTCCTCGCTGGGGGAAGTTGGCTTTTGCCTTCCTCCAAGAGAGTGCAGCTTGTTCAAGGTCGTACTCCAACATTCAAATAACTATATCCTACCTAACTAGAAACAAGACCAGATGAAGACATGTAGCAAGATAGATCACAGATGGGACAAAAATAATAACCAGGAAAATGTATAATCATTTGGCTGTGCAATGCTGCCTTAATAAAGAGCCATCAGTTATTATTATATTATTATAATGTTCATTTATATCCCACTTTTTCTCTCCATACAGAGACTTAACGCATCTCACAACTAAAATCATTACAATACAACTAAAATATCATGAAGATATATTTCTTGCCTTGTAAGGAATTGCCTAAATATATATATTGGGGTTTTTTTTGCATATGATATGGGGGGTGGGGTGGGGGGAGAAGTAGCTGATGGCACTATTGCTGGAAACAGTTCTAGTTAGGAATAGTTTACATGGATTTTCCTTTGAAAATGTCTTAAACTCGAGTGAATGGTAAAGTATGTTATACTTATTTTGTACAAGTTTCCACCTGCATACAGATCTAGACAAGTTTCATTTTTTAAATGTATATTTTCTGATTATATATGAGATTGTTTGTGTCAAATAATTAATAAAAAATAAAGTTAAAAGAACCAATACAACTAAAATATACAAATATGCAATGATTATACAAGTATTTGCAAGAAGTATGGCCTAGGTAAAAGAAAAGGTTTTCCCCTGACATTAAGTCCAGTCATGTCCGACTCAGGGGGTTGGTGCTCATCTCCATTTCTAAGCCAAAGCACTGGTGTTGTCCGTAGACACCTCCAAGGTCATGTGGCTGCCATGACTGCATGGAGCGCCATTACCTTCCCGCCGGAGCGGTACCTATTAATCTACTCACATTTGCATGTTTTCGAACTGCTAGGTTCGAAAACATGCAAATGTGCTGGGGCTGGGGCAGAAGCTGGGGCTAACAGTGGGAGCTTACACTGCTCCCCGGATTCGAACCTGTGGTCTTTCGGACAAGTTCAGAAGCTCAGCGGTTTAACCCACTGCGCCACCAGGGGCTCCTAAAGTATGGTTTACTGTGCAGTAAAACCTGGTATGAGCACAAGTCGGAAAAGACCATGGAAAACAAAGAGGCAAAAATACTCTGGGATTTTAGAATTCAAACAGATAAACACCTGCCACATAACACACCAGATACAACAGTTGTGGAAAAGAAACATGTTTTTTAATTATAGACATTGCAGTACCAGGAGACAGTATAGAAAAGGACAAAGAACTGCAAAAGATCATGATATACAAGGGCTTACAAATTGAAATTGGATGACAATGGCAAAAGAGAACAATAATGGTACCAATAGTGGTTGGTGCGCTTGGAGGCATTCCAAGAAACCTCAAAAAACACTGGAAAATCCAATATTCAGAGACAAATGCCAGATATTTGAACCTAATATATTTGAACCTAATATGCATGTGTGCTGTGCTGTTATGTACAAATAAATATTTTAAAAACACAAGAAAACTGAAGCACAATTTATGTGGACTCGGGGCACAACATTCAATATTAACACAGTGAGGCAGGAAAAGTGTCAAAGTTTGCTTTTATCTATATTATTTGAATATTTCTCTCAGTTTGAATAGTCGGCCAGCTCAAAGTCCACAGAATACTGGGCAAAGTTTGAAGTTCTCGAGAACTCTTACTTAAAAATAGTCTATAGAAGCCTATTAGTTTACCCAATTGCCATAGCAAGTTTAAAAAATGCACCCAGAAATCAGTTATGCATATGAGCTCCAGACGCAACTACAGTAAAATATTGTGACATGTTTACCTCAAAGCTTGGAAGAACAGCTATTTTGGAGTACATCTCCCAGAACCCCTTGTTGGCTGAGGGATTCTGGGAGCTTTTCAAATTTAGGTTGTGTGCTCTCATGGTTCCTCAAGAGTGGAAATAAAAAGGTAAAACTTGGCCAATATGTACATGGATTTTCTATCTGTCTTTTTCTCCCAATGGAGATGGAGACATGAACTAAAAGTATCTGCAATACTTTCTGCTGCATACTTTAGGATTATCTGGACGAAACTGTGAAATGGTCTCCCATATAAAGAATATCCAGCATCTATCATACTATAATAAAAAAAATCTAGTTGAGTTTAGTTCACCTCTGGACAAGTAATTATTCTACATGCATGTTGGCTATTTTTCCATGGGAGATAATAAAAAATGTGATCTTGCTTCTGAACTGAAATTGAAATGGAAACCCATCATGAACACCAGCATCTGATGTTGCTAATGATCATAATGTTATTTAGCCTTCAGGTTTTTTTTCTAATTTGGACTAGACTGTTGTGAACTCCCATAGGAGTGACAGAGTATTTGAGTATGTGGGCTTGCTTACTCTAGCTCCCACTTGGGTATTTACACTGAATGTAAAGTAAAGACACAGAGCCCCACTCTCTTCTAACAACACACACTTACCTGCATGGAGTTCTGTGTATTTGCCTGCCATTCCTGCTCATTAAAGGCCTTGGGCAGACCAGAAATAGTTTTGAATTCCCACCTCTGCCTGCAGATCACTCCTACCATAGTTTTGCCCACACTGCTATGCTGGATAGCCACCAGAAATTTGTCAACGTCACAAACCACAAGGCAAACATATTTGACAGAATGTCTGGCAAGGTTTGTCTTTTTTTGCTCTGTGATCTCTTAAAGCTAATCCTGCCACTGCTATTGCCTGGTAACACTTCAACAGTCCCGAGAGTGTGACACATCCTTTCCTACGCAGGTACAGGAGAGACACGCATGTCCCTGACCCACTACATAGGATTTCTCAATCTGAGAACAACACAGAATGCCCTCTCTCAAACAGTATAATATACAAAGATACAGATCTCACTGTTAACACCCCCCACTGTTGACCTTTACTTGGTCTGCTGTGCTCCAGTTTTCTATGCCCACTTATTTACCTTCCTTACATGATTTATGGCCTTTGATAAGCTTCCAGGCAGGAGGCTTCTGCTTTGCTTTATCAAGTTTTCTAACAGACTTAAATAAAATATCAAGTCTTTAAATATAATTCATCCAGATTAACCAAGCTTTTCCAAATCAATTGTAATGTATCATTCTGAAAAGATACATTGTAATGTATCATTCTGAAACAAGGTGGATATCATCTTTGTGGATGATAGCCACAAAACCCTCCTCACAAAAACCTTAATGTGTAACCCCTTCACAAAACCATTAATGTATTGTGTAGATCCTGAGAAAGTCAGGAAAGGTTTGGGTGGGACTAGAAGAGTCAAGCAAGAAGCTTTACTTCAGTCTGCCCCTTGACTAGGAAACAGGGGTTCTTTCTTCACTTCATTTGGAAGATTCATACCACCCTTCATCCCTCTACTTTAAGGGAATAGTATGTTATGTCATGAGTATGTATTTTATTTTTCACCACAATGTAAGGCATGAGCTCTGATGCAATTGCTGGGAGATAGAGCTTTATGGGACTATGGGGATATAGGAAGCAAACAGGCTGAGTAGATTTTTATTGGCTGATAGGTTGGTAGACTGATGCCTGGGATGACCCATGTTGGGGCCAACTGTTCAGCTGTAAACATGTATACTACTAATCTACTAACTTTAAGATGTGTATATAGTTGGCTGCTATTAAGAGTAGAAAAATTGAGTTTGAATAAGTTAATTGATAAAATAAGGAGAAGGAACACTCATTACACAAATTTGGAAGATTAGAAAAGAAAGGACAATATAAGAAGATAAAAGAAATCAATGCATATTATGAGGGATAATCTGTTACTCTTGTTAGAGAAGATGTTATAGTTGAAAGTTTTTCTTTTACTACACTTCCTTCCTATACTAAAGCATATCTATAATGATCTTCCCCACCCCATCCTCCCATGTGTTCGGACATACAACAGACTCATAGGTAGAACTAGTTAACTAACATTGCTCCATAACTTACATACTATATCCTTTCAAGTTCCCCATCTTTCCCTCATTTTTTCCCCTTTTTTACTGTTTATTTCAGTTATTTTTCCTCTCCTTTTCTGAAAACAAATAGAACTTATTTGCTACAATGCAGCTGTGGCCTTTTCATGATAGCATTTGCGGTTTATGCACATTATTGCTATTTGAAATCTCTCTTTGTGCACAATATTGCTATTTGAAGTAACCTCTAACACTACAGTCTGACTCTTGCGTTCATGGGACCAGTAATCTACACCTTCATTTATCTACATCTCACAAAATATATCCTTTCTAGGCATTTCCTGGGTCCTCCAGCATGCCTTTATAAACCCAATATCCATCATTTCAGTAGGGCTCACTATTATCCTGCATGGATAAGAATTCATACAGTAATTAATACTGAAAGGCCAAGAAGGAAAATTTCCAATTTTCGCAAAAAAACAAAACAAAACCCTCTTTCCTTCCCTTGTGAAACTATGTCTTCAACATAGACCGCCCATAGACAGCTTAATTCTGAAATTAACAGAAGAGAACTTCTGAATATTAAATAAATTTGACAGATTCCAAATTGACAATTTCTTCTATGAAGGAGTGGGTGATGCCCACTCTAGTTCTTTTTATAGTTAGTGGCCCCATTTCTAATGTATCAATATCATTACTAAACTCTCTGATGCATATCTTCAGTAAGAAGGAAGATGTTTATTATTGATAGTTTTGGTAAAATTTGAGCTTATGGTAGAAACCTGAACCCCACGACCAAGCAATTTCCTACCATATCTTCAAACAATACAGCTTTCTTGGACTATCTTCCACAGTGATACATGTGACCTAGAGTACAGACTGCTGGCAAAATCTCTCAATATTTCACCTCTGTGTACTTGGCTTTGGGTAGTAAACAAACCTTAAACCCAATCTGCACTTCTTATCATTTATCTATTTACAATTTGTTGATAATTATAACAAGACAGTATACTTTTCTTACCTTAGTTGGTATGGTGGGATCTTGGTAGCAGCTTCAGTAGATTCTAAAGTTTCTGTATAGGAAAAAAGAAGAATCATTGTAAAAGGGAAGTAGAATGGGTATTTTCCACAGTGCTACTTTAGAAAATGTTGACCATTTCTGCTACCTAGGCAGCCACCTCTCCGCAAAAGTCAACATTGTCACTGAAATACAACACCATCTGAGCTCTGTGAGTACAGAATTTTTCAAATGAAGCAGAGAGTGTTTGAGGATCAGGATATTTGTAGGGCAACCAAGATGCTTGTTTATAAGGTTATTGTCTTCTCAACTCTGTTATATGCCTGTGAAACATGGAACTTCTACAAACGGCATTCTCAACTTCTGGAATGATTCCCTCAATGTTGCCATTGAAAAATCCTGCAAAACTCTTGGGTAGAAAAGCAGTCAAATGTCAGCATTCTGGAAGAAGCAAAGGCCATCAGCATTAAAGCAATGATGCTCCGTCATCAACTTCACTGGACTAACCACATTGTCTGAATGCTCAATCAACGTCTCCCAAAACAGTCACTCTACTCTCAACTCAAGAACAGAAAACAAGATGTTGTTGGACAGCAAAAGAGATTTAAAGATGGGCTTAAAGCCAACCTTAAAAACTGCAGCATAGATGCCGAGAACTGGGAACTCCTGGCCTTCAAGTCTTCTAACTCAAAGAGGCACGAATGGAGGGCGAAAGGGAGTAATGTGTCAAGAGAAAGGCACATAAAGCCTTCCACCTGGAAACGGATATCCTCACTGTGAAGTAACATGCGGATCCAGTACAGATCTCTGCAGTCACCTAGAGACCCCCGCCAAGAATCTCCACCTGGAAGGCAATCATACTTGGCTGTGAGTGATAGCATATGATGGTGAGTCTTAAATGACTGGTCTCCCAAAATTGCCTAACATGCTATACTTGGAGCAAAGCCAATTGCCTTAAATGTACCTTTACAAATGTGCAGTTGCCAACCCTAAAATTCAACAAGACTGAAAATATACTTTTAGGCTGCAATTCAAAACACATTTCCTTAAGTCTCCATTGGGGGACTTCGTTTGAATCAGACATGAATAACATTACCCTGTACCTATCTTCAAAAGCTAAACACATTCATTTAACCCATAGAATAACTGTATGACCCGCAGGCTATTGTTGAGAAAAGATCAACATTGTTGACAAACATTAAACTACTATATATATCGTACTCATGTATAAGTCTAGACATTTTAGTTTAAAAAAATCAGCTCCCAAAACTAGGGTTGACTAGTTCATAGAGCAATGTAATACTATATTTTAACTCTTATTGAAAAAAGAACCATCCCCTTCTCTGAGGAAAGGAGTGAAAAGCAAGAGCTCAGTCTGTCCTGAGATAACTTAAAGGAGGATTGACCTCTTCTATTTTCTATTTTCTATGCTGCACCACTGCTTCTGGATTTTTTGAATGTCTGGTCAGCGAGACGGCAGCAAGCCCCTAAGGAAGCTCTGTTGCTCTCCTCTCTCAGCAAAATCACCCTTGACTTACTGTATCCATGGGTCATATCAAAACCCATAATGTTGACCCTAAAACCTGCCCTTGATTTATTTATGAGGTCAATTTATAGAATAATATAGTTAACTCTTTATATCCATGGATTGTGTATTCAGAGATTTCACCATCCATAGCTTGAAAATCTGCCCGCCCACCCCTCCCCCCAAATTCAAAAAGTAAGCCTTGATTTTGCCATTTTAAATAAGGGACACCGTTTTATTGTGCCAATGGATATAATAGAACATGACCATTCATGAATTTTAGAACTGCAGAAGGTCCTGGGACCAAACTCCAGTGGATACTCAAGGGCACATTGTAGATTTAAATAGGCCTGACACATAGACTAACTAGATCAGTGGTTCACAACCTCTTCTTAACCAGGGGCCACTTGACCAGGGACCACTCTACAACATTAGTACCAAAAGGACTATGGATCAGTTTTTGGTCAACTTTAGATTCAGATTGGTTATTTGGGGTGCTGATTCAGAAATATGTGTTAGATAGACCACATCAACTCTAGTTTCTGATACATAACATATGCCATCCTGTAGTTGCCATCTTCTCATGCACAGAAAACCATATTTAATAAGTCTTGACACTATAAGAGAGATTCGCTCTTGTTGTAACAGTGTAGTAACGGTGAGGCCGCAGGTCATATTTTAGTTCTTGCAGACCACTAGTGGTCCATAGACCACAGGTTGGAAATCACTGAATTAGATTACGTCTTTCATTCCTAAACTTCTGTCCACTAAAATTAGTTCCCTTTCTGCAAATGCCTGAGGATTAAAAAGAAAAACACAAGCACATCATTCTTGTTTCTATACCGAATTAAAAGATGTGTGCTCCTACTGCGCACGATTTCTTCCAGAGTGATGTAGTGGATTAAGACCAGGGTTTGAATCCCTGCTCGGCCATGGAAACTCATTGTGTAAACCTGAGCAAGTCACACTCTCTCATGCTTAGAGAAACTCACATGGCAAACCTTCTCTGAATACATCTGGCCAAGAGAAGCGTACATGGAGTCAATCTAAAGATCTATAACAATAACAAAACTACCGTAACCATAGGCAGAAAAGAACACAGTATGACAATAATGTTAACCTGTTGAAGCCAAAGTAACAATCCATATATATAAATGGCATTAAGCAACAAAGCCATGACCACGTTAGCACGTGCTAATAAAAAAAGTAGGTAGGTGACATGTACATTTTTCCCATTCATGTTTTAACACTCTCTTTCAATCTCTGCAATCTGATTCTATTCCTAAGTGAAAGAGTTCAAAGAAACCTTTGTTTCCAATAACGACATCTTGCAAAGACAGACACAACAGAGCATTTCAACCCAGCAGCCTCGAAATCCTAATCCAGCTGCCCTCATTATGCCATTCATTCTGCTTCCTTTAAAATATGCACCACTGACAGTTACACCCATTGGGTAAACCGATAACACCTTTACAATGTTATCTTTACAATACACGAGCAGCAATGTGTTGTTGTTGTGTGCCTTTCCTAGGGAGCCCAATAATAGTTAAAGTGGAGTATAGACAGCAATATATTATATAGTGGGAGAAGTGCAAAGCACTGTCAAGCTGGATTTACATTGATGTATAATGCAGTTTGGAACAGTGTAGTTCAGCTGAGGGCAAACTTGGGCCTTCCAGGTGTTTTGGACTTCAACTCCCACCATTCCTAACAGCCTCAGGCCCCTTCCTTTTGGTTAGGAAAAGAAGGTACATCTCATACAACTGGGGGGAGAGAAAATCTGAACGGCTGGAAAATGCTGTGTGGATGCACAATCCTGATCACTCTGCATATTTATAGAACTATAAGTAGTAAAAATAAAGGTTTCTCCTTGACATTAAGTTTAGTTGTGGTGGTGCTCATCTCCATTTCTAAGCCAAAGAGGCGGCATTGTTCACATGTTTTCGAACTGCTAGGCTGGCAGAAGCTGGGCCTACAAGCAAGAGCTCAGCCCACTCCCTGGATTCTAACCACCGACCTTTTGGTCAGCAAGTTCAGCAGCTCAGCAGTTTAACCAACTGCACCACCGTGGGCTCCCTTTATAGAACCATATTCCTTACTTACTTACTTAGGTGATCCCTCATTGCCAAAGGATGATGGTCCTCCAAGTGTAGGGTCCTAGTAGTGGGTCCGTAGATGACTGTGGAACCCTATTCTTGATCTGCAAGTTCTCCCACAGTGAGGACATCGGTTTCCAGGTGGAAGGTGGTCCCGGTCAGGGTTGGCTTGATGTGCCTTCCTCTTAGCATGTTTCTCCCTTTTGCCCTCCATTAGTGCCTCTTCAAATTTTGCAGCACTGCTGGTCACAGCTGACCTCCAGTTAGAGCACTCAAGGGGCAAGGCTTCTCAATTCTCGGCATTTATGCCACAGTTTTTAAGCCCATCTTTAAATCTCTTTTGCAAATGTGAGTTTTCTATTCTTGAGTTGGGAGTATAGGAACTGCTTTGGGAGACAGGGATCGGGCATTCGGACAATGTGGCTGGTCCAGCGGAATTGATGAGGTAGGAGCATTGCTTCAATGCTGGTGGTCTTTGCTTCTTCCAGCATGCTGATATTTGTCCGCCTGTCTTCCCAAGAGATTTGCAGGATTTTACAAAGGCAACGTCGCTGGAATCATTCCAGGACGTCTGTAGACAGTCCACATTTCGCATGCGTATAGCAGGGTTGGGAGGACAATGGCTTTATAAACAAGCACCTTGGTCTCCCTACGCATGTCCCTGTCCTCAAACAATGGAAGAATTATATTCCACCCTAATTGCAATGCTGAGAAATATTGTCATTTTCAGTTTAGGGAAGACATTTCAAATTACTAGCTAAGGCATTCTTGGATGTCACAGAATGACAAGACCTGGAATACCACGGGATGTTGCCATGGGATATAGTTGCCTCTAGTTTAGACTAGTTACGTCTAGTTTGGACTACTGCAATGCACTCTACGTGGGGCTTCCCTTGAAGATGGCCCGGAAACTCCAATTGGTCCAACATTCGGCAGCCAGATTAATAACTGGGGCGAATTACAGGGAGCAGTCAACCCCCCTGTTTAAGGAGCTCCATTGGCTGCCGTTCATCTTCTGGTCCCAATTCAAGGTGCAGGTTATCATCTATAAAGCCCTAAACGGTTTGGGACCTGCCTACCTTTGTGACCGCATCTCCCCCCACCAACCTCTTCTGATGTGCCTTTGGAGAGTGACCATTCACCCCATTTCTGTTTGTTCCACCTACAGTGTTTCCCCTAAGATGCACTTTCCCCTGTCCTAAACTGAAAGCCTAACTCCACTGTTCATCCCTTTGGGCTCCTCTCAAATGCACTTTTCCTACTCCTACCTCATCCAGGGTTTTATCATTTTACCTTGTCCATTGTGTTCAATTTTATATTATCTTATTTTGCTTTGTTTACTCTATTCTGCTACTGTATTGTGATGTAATATTTGTTGCTTTTTGTTGTTTGCATTTTGTATTTTATTTTGCTGTATTGTATCTTTGGGCTCGGCCTCATGTTAGCCGCCCCAAGTCCCCCTCGGGGAGATGGTGGTGGGGTATAAATAAAGTGTATTATTATTATTATTATTATTTATATAGGTATCAATATAATGGTTTAGTGGGAGAAGTGCAAAGTACAGTAAAGCTGGGTCTACACGGAGTATAATGCAATTTGGAGCAGTGTAGTCCAGCTGTTGGCAAACTTGGGCCCTCCAAGTGTTTTGGACTTCAACTCCCACCATTCCTAACAGCCTCAGGCCCTTTCCTTTTCCTCCTCAGCCGCTTAGGGGGAAAAGGAAAGGGCCTGAGGCTGTTAGGAATGGTGGGAGTTGAAGTCCAAAACACTTGGAGGGCCCAAGTTTGCCCATGCCTAGTCTATGTAGATCCCCATAATGCAGATCATGTCAATGAAGTGTAGATCCAGCCTCAGAAGGAAAGGGAAGAACTGGTGTTGGATCTGGGCTCCGGTCTCCTGCGTGGGGAAGAAGAAGAAGGAGCTTTCCAGGAACCAGCCACCCTGGAAGCAGCAGCCAGGCGAGAAAAACAAAAAGTGGGCTTGCTGCTCCGTTGGTTTGTGGGCAGTCCGGGCGGAAGGCCAAGAGGCAGAGGGCCAGGCAAGGAGGACGCCTGACAGCTCCCTGATCCGGGGAAGGCAAACCAGACCAAACATCAACACAGCGAGACAACAAGGATGCGCCTTTCCACGGGGGGAAAAGGAAGGCGACACCGCGGGAAAAGGACCCCGCAAAGCCCCCCACGGCCCCGGGGCACCTCTCTCGGAGGTCTAGCCTTTCTCCACGGGGGGAGCATGACCGCCCGCCCCTTATTGCCCTCCCCCAAAGGGTCCCCCCCCCCGCCATCCTCACCGGTGGCCCAGGCGCAGCTCTCCTTGATGGCCTTGTGCTTGTTCCCCGAGGCTTCCTTCTGCAGCTTCTTCAGGATGCCTTCCATCTTGCCTACCTGCCTTGCCCTATCCCTCCTCCTCCTCCTCCTCCTTCGTGGAGCCCCGCTTCAAGCGCGCGGCATCGGCGGCGTTGATGAATCACGCGGAGCGGCCCACGACCCGGGAGACGTCACGCGCGGCAATCCCCCCCTCTCTCTCTCTCTTAATCCCCGCCTCCTCCGCGCAGACGTCCACGCCGGGTCTTGGAGAGCCTGCCTTTGGGCAAATCGCTCCTCCTCTCGCCGCCTCGGCTGCACCTGCCGCTCCCTCCAACCCTCGGGCGACAGGGAAGGGGAGCCACGCGTGGAGCCGCCGGGAGGCGCTTTGGAGGCGGCGCAGCGCCCGGCCTGGCTTTTGCTGGGAGCCCCAGATAGAGCAGACCCCTTGGATCAATAGGGTTTACTCATCAAGGGGAGGGAAGGAGCCTCCGGTGGCTGGGAGCCCCACATAGTGGGCTAAACCCTTGTGCCGGCAGGACTGAAGACCGACAGGTCGGAGGTTCAAATCCGGTAAGAACGCGGGTGAGCTCCCTCTGGCAGCTTCTACTATCCAATCTAACCTGGGAAAAATTAAAAACCCTCTAACTGCTGGCTAGAGATTCGGACACCATGAGTCCATGGCTGGCATTTATAAGCCCTGCAAGCTAGAGAACAAGGGTGTACCTACACTGCACAATTATAACATTTTGATCCCAATTTCATTTTAAGAACAGACAAGCATCTCGAGCTCTGAGGATTATCTGGAGCACTGCAGCACATCCAAATTCCTAGGAGTTACCCTGGACTGTGTTCCGACCTACAAGAAGCACTGCCTGAATATCAAGCAAAAAGTGGGTGCTAGAAACAATATCAGAAAGCTGACTGGCACAACTTGGGGATCACAACCAGATACAGTGAAGACATTTGCCCTTGCGCTATGTTACTCTGCTGCTGAGTATGCATGCCCAGTGTGGAACACATCTCACCACGCTAAAACAGTGGATGTGGCTCTGAATGAGACATGCCACATTATCACAGGGTGTCTGCACCCTACACACTGGAGAAATTACACTGTTTAGCCGGTATTGCACCACCTGACATCCACTGGGGAGTAGCAACCAATAGTGAAAGGACCAAGGGAGTGACATCTCCGGCCCACCCCCTGTTTGGGTATCAGCCAGCACACCAGCGCCTTAAATCAAGAAATAGTTTTCTAAGATCTACAGAGACACTTGCTGAAACACCTCAGCAAGTGAGAGTCCAAAAGTGGCAGACTCAAACACAGAAGCTCAATGGCTTATACCAAATGAGATATTCCCTCCTGGGCACACAGAAAACTGGGCAACTTGGAAGTGCTGAACAGACTGCACTCTTGACACCATGAGATGCAGAGCCAACCTTAAGAAATGGGGCTACAAAGTGGAGTCCATGACATGCGAGTGTAGAGAAGAGCAAACCACAGATCACCTATTACAATGCAGCCTGAGCCCTGCCACATGCACAACGGAGGACCTTCTTATAACAACACCAGAGGCACTCCAAGTGGCCAGCTACTGGTCAAAGAACATTTAATAGAATGCCAAGTTTGCAAACTTTGTGGGTTTTTTGTTTTTGTTTTTAAATACAATACAACTATTTGGTTTGCTCCTGATACGATAAATAAAATCCCAATTTAGCTGCAGTGGCTCCATCCTGTAGATGAAGGAAAGTACTATTCTGCAATATATGGTGTTATATAGAAATGTCAAAGCATTTCTGATAATAGATAAAATACTGTTTGATGAACATGTGGTATATTGATAGCACCTGGCTAATGACTGTGAATGTTATGATCAATACCTAAGGGGTGTGGTAATGACCAAGTCATAAATATGTGAGGGTTTCTGCAAAGGAATTGCATCAGCCAGTGTCCCTTGCTGATGACCTATCAGCAGGTGGCTATATAACAGTGGTTCCCAACCTTTTTTTGATCAGGGACCACTTTGACCAGGGGCCACTCTCCAACATTAGAACCAAAAGGGTTACAAATTAGTTTTTGGTCAACTTTAGATTTGATTTGGTTATTGATCATCCCTGCCATAGGATGTCATAATGGCTATATACACAAAAGGTTTTTGTCTGATTAACCATGCCATGACTATTCCATGTTAGAATTATCATACTTCATTGAACTTCAGGCAAATAACAACAACCCTACATGGAATCAGACAATCTTAGGAAACAAGGGCTATCTAGTCCAATGCAGGACTACACAACTAAAGCTCTCCTGAAAGATGACCATCCAATATTCAACCAAGACCTTCAAAGATGGAGAGTCTCCCACTCTTCAAGGCGATCTATTCCATGATTGAATCACTTACAGTAAAATGTTCTTCCTGATGTTTAGATGGGGCTCAGTTAAACACCTCACATCACACTGGCACCATCTTTGCTCCCCCCATTTAGGTGGAATCTCTTTTCTTGTAATCTAAATCTACAGGTTCACATTTTAGTCTTGTATAGAAATTAGATAAAACTTTATCTGTTGTGGATTCACTCTGTGTCATCTGAGATTTATACATTGGTGAAGGATTATGAATTCTTTGCTAGAGAGGTCTGATACCCTTGCCTGAACTTCCAAGCAGCGAATTCTAATGACTTCATGAAACTATAGATTCTAGGATTTCATAGACTGGAATCACATCGTTTAATGTGGTATCAGACATTTCTAACTGTGAAGTGCAGTTATGTTCCTAGACCACAATCTTGTGCAGTAGAAGTAGTTCTACATGTGGAACTATGCTGGCCACTCACCAACATCTGGACTTACCAAAGGCTTGCAGTGGTGGTCTGGAGGAACATCTGTCTATGGACCTGCAGCAAGATACATAATGACTACATCCTCAGATCTCTGGAGACCTTAGCCTTATATCTGGCCAAATCACTGTTTTGGGAAAGCTAATAATAATCATGATGACAGTTATTCCCAAATATTGGACATCTCCATCAGATCAAAGATATGCTGGGGTGTTCTTTTTGCTGTCATGAAACATGCATAGATATATGTGTTGCTTTTCGGTGTTTTAATCCTTGTACCTGGAATCCTGTGCTGTGCATTTACACATATCAGACAGAATTGATTTCATTAAAGCCCACTCTCCAGGAAATGTGTTGAGAAGCTTGAGAACACATTTAGCATGTGTCCACCCCTACATAATATTTCTTTCTGCACTGCCAGTCAATTTCACTGGATGATCAATGTGTACTACTTAACAAGTGGGGGGAAATTGCTGAACAGATTGAATATTAAATCTCCGAAGCAGTTGTATTAATTAATTGTTGACACTTCCCTCCACTCCTCTCTGATTCATCACAATCTATATTCTGGGAACATTGTTTCCATCCTAAATATCTTGATGTCATCTTAGATAGAACACTAGCATATAGGAAACACTGCTTTACCACTAAACACAAAGTAGCTACACGTAATAACATCCTGAGGAAACTTACTGGCAGCACATGGGGTGCAGACCCAAAATTAATAAGAACATCAGCCCTGGCCTTGTCTTACTCAACTGCCAAGTATGCCTGACCTGTTTGGCATAAGTCTGCCCATGCAAAACAGGTGAACATAGCATTGAATGAAACATGCAAATTAATCACAGGATGCCTTAAACCTACACCTGTTGATAAACTCTACAGGCTAGCTGGCATTGTCCCCCCTGATGTGTGATGGGAAGTTGCTGCTAAATGTGAGAGAAATAATGTTGAACACTATGAAAACCATCCACTACATGGCTACCAGCCTCCTCCCAGTAGACTCAAATCAAGGAAAAGCTTTATGAGAACTATCACTCTTCTTGGCATCCCTCCAGCAACAGCAAGGGTATCCCTCTGGGCAGCTAAACCAGGAAATCCCAACTGGATGGAAGGGTCTTCCTCCAGGGGCAAACCAAGAATGGGCAACTTGGAAGTCCCTGAACAGATTCAGGAGTTGAGTGGGTAGTTAAAAAGACAACCTGGCAAAAAGGCACTACCTAAAAGAATCCCACACTGTATGTGACTGTGGAGCACGACAGACAACTTCGCATCTGTATGCTTGTCCACTATGTCCTGCCTCATGTACAGAGGAAGAATTATTGGAGGCTACAGACAATGCCATTGCTTTTTTTGGGCATTTTTGGGCAAAAGATATTTAGCCGCCTGCGCTCCTTCTATTTTTATCAGATTTATACTAATTTATGCAATGCTTTTGATACGAAATAAGTCCATTCTGAGCCCATCATAAAGACAGAATGTAGTTAGTATGCCATTATGTGGTCTATTCTGGGGGGAAATTAAAGGAGATATTGCACATACTGGAAATATACTAGTCCAATTTTAGTCACATTTTGAATAAACTCATTGTACTCTGATTAGTTACACCTAAATCTATTATCTATTTCAATAGTTCTGCTCAAACTATCTGGCTCTAACCCATGGGATTTAGGATCAAGACATTTAGCTCTTCCAATCTGCTGTTGTTGTGCTGTTGTCTCATTATATTTACACTTTCCTAGACCAAGAGGGAAATATGAAGATGTTCACATCCTAAAGTTGGCTTCAGAGCAGATCTTGATATAGTTATTTTCCCCAGCTCTGCCCTAATTTGTGACCTACCTGGTGGCAACAAGTGAGTAAGACGTTTCAGTGGTATTTGAAAAGGGACCAAAAAACTCCCCCTATAATATTTGATGTACGCTTCTACCTGGACATATTTTTCTTCTATCACAGCTATAGTTCTTACAAATGCTGATGTATAAGCTTTAAATGTATGCTTATACTTTGTTTGAAAATTGTTCAAAAACTGTCATTACCATAACCTTTTTTGCTGGGTTGACAAATGTGTCTATAGTTTAACTGTATCTTTTATTACCATCCTGTTACTAACAGAACTGGCAAAGCAGAGCAGTCTCAATGCCAGTATTTTGCAATAGTTGCTTGATAAAAGCCTGCTTGTAAGGAAATGGATAGGCCTTTGTGCTAACTCGTTTATCCTGTTGGGGCAGATTTATACCTTTGCAAATGCGAAAAGCAAAGCAACTGTGCACTCGGGGTTCCTGGTTCTGTTGTTTATTACCACCCTTCACACAGTTATATGTTCTCTGAGAGACACGATTTGCAAACCTAATTGTGTATACATTA